TATTATTACAATACAATATTATCAGATCTTTAATTTCAACAAACAAATTTACTTAATCTATTTTATTATTACAAAAAGGAAGACCAATTAATCTTTACGAAGCAGTTGATAAATCATTAACCTAATGGCCTATTTATTACTATACCAGGTGTTTGATAAGTCCCTGGACAAGACCTTTTTGTTATTTACTTAAAGTTCAAGATAGGACCTTTTTACTAATAATGTAATAGTTTTAATAATTAAAGTGATTAATAAAAAGTTCCTGTCCAGAGACTTATCAAACACCCAGTATATAGTTGACTCTAACCTTCTTATAACAAACTCAAAATTTTGAGATTTTGTAATAGTTCAGTAAAAGAAATAGCATAGGTTCTTAAGAAAACAATGTAATTTTTTATTACGAACTTTTTTTTTCCAGAGTTTTTAGTTTGTTATAGAAAGAGTTGACTGTAGTTATTGTTTTTATTTTTTTATTATAATTACTATTTTATTTACTGTAACTGTTTAAATTTTAGGTATTAAGAAGGTTAGCCGCATTTCCTCGGTTTTTCTTTCTTGAGCTCTTTTACAATTTGCAATTCGTTGTAGCCTTTCAAAATTAAATGGCTTAAAGATAATATTATTAAGTGCATGAATCTGGGATACTGCTACAAAAGAAAGCCCAGCAGCAAATTCTCTGTTGCTGATATCTATTATGGCTTTTGGTATTATAAGGCCTTGGCTTTTATATACTGTAATAGGCCATGCGAGACGGATAGGAATTTGCAAATGTGAACATATCACTTCAGATTTACCTTCCCATATACATTGAATTGGTATGATTGAGACGACTTTTGTCCCTTCTAATGTGCTTATAGTAGGTTCTCTGTAGTCATCAAATGCGATAAAAACTGCTGTGGGAAGTAAAGATGGACTTTGGCCTTCTTCAAATAAAATATCTTGAATAGTTCCTATCGAACCATTAACTAACCCAACTTCTGTCTACAGGTTTGCTGTTAGCATAATGCGAGCATTTCTGGCCAGTAACAATTCTGTTTCAAGATCACTTGCTGCATCTGAATCAGCATTTTTGGCTTCTTTACTACCTCTATGATGCACTACAAGAATTTTTGCAACAGGAATGTTTAAGGATCTCAATTTGTCTGTGTTTATTAAATTAACATCAGTTCACTTTGTTAGGATAAACATAACATCAAAGAATTGATCATGCTCTGTTCTAATTATCTTATTTTCAAAACGTGTACTAAGTGTTCTCCAATCAGCAATTGTAGATTCTCTATTGCGTAGCCGTAAGAGAATATCTCTAAATTCTTGTTGTTCTTCAGAATCTCCAGATTGACGTTGCATGATATTGAGTTTATACATTTCATGAAAGTGTTTATATGCAACAATACCATTATTAGATAATGAATCTCACACAAAATTTGTAGTATACATAGAATGATCAAGCACAGAAGGAAGCTGACCAAAATCACCAAATAATATAATTAATTTTCTACTAAAAGGTTCGTTCTTATATTCAGGAAAAGCTTGACGTAACTGCATATCAATTAAAGCAAGCATTCGACGTCCTACCATGCTTTTTTCATCAATTATCAAATAATTTATATCTTGTAACCTATTTTGCAACTGTTTAAATCATTCACCTGTTATGTCAAGATGAGTACTGAT